CTACTGTAAACCACTTTGCACTGGGCAGCACATTAGATAGCAGGGTGTGAGGACTGGGATCTTCCGCTGATTGAATCTCCACTAACGATTTCACTGCACACAAATCATAAACTAACCTCCACATTTTGCCTCCTGCCTTTGTTACAGGCAGGAAGGAAGTTTTGCTTGTGCTGGTGATAAGCACCACCACGCTTTACCTGCAGTGACCCTTCTATTGTCTCCCTTATTCCTGGGTTAGCTGATGTTACCAGGCCTATATCCATATCACGGGTGGTCCACACCTCCTCAGGCACTTCCCTTTCCATCTCCTGCTGACATTACTCCGTGCTTTATTTTCCTTCACACTGCACTCCTATCATACCCCATAGCCACAAACCTCTTAAATGTCCTACACTCTCCTCTGCACTGGTCTTGTTTTTAAGAAATATAAAGGGTTTTGAAGGCGTGTAATAAATACGCTTCAAGTGCTCGTCATCCATGATGAACATTCAGCAAGAATGACACATGCGCATGTGCAGTTCCACCGTTTTAGGATTATGGTTAGGTTTTAGGGTTGGGTTAGGGTTAGGGTTAGGGTTAGGTTTTAGGGTTGGGTTAGGGTTAAGGTAAGGGCTTTATGGGTTTTTGGGGGGCTGTGCCAGAAGAGAGGAACCTTGGAACACATCCTCAGTTGCTGTTCGAAGGTATTGGGGGAGGGGCGGTATCGCTGGCATCATGACCAGGTTCTCAGGGCCCTGGCAGACACAGTTAGCACGGCAATTACCAGCAGCAAGTACCAGCACACCCCCAAACAGCCCATCACCTTCGTCAGAACTGGGGAGATGGCACAACAGCAGCCAAGTTCTTCCAGAGGGCTTCTCACTACTGCACGGGATTGGAAGCTCCAAGTTAACCTGGAAAGACAGCTTAAGTTCCCAGAGGACATCTCAGCCACTTCACTCCATCCAGACATGGTGTTAACATCAGAGTCAACGAAGCAAGTGGTTCTGGTAGAGCTTACTGTCCCCTGGGAAGACCAGATTGAGTAGGCTAATGAATGCAAGAGGGCCAAATACGCAGAGCTGGTTTGGATGCCGACAGAAAACGAAGGAGTGCAGGCAGCGGCAGGAGAGAAGTTTAGTGGAGTGCAGAGAGTGAAAGCATTACAGAATATTCTCTCTGAAAGCATTTGCCTAGACCACCCCCTGGTGTACAGGTTAAAAGATTATGATGGTGATATCAAAGAGAGGACATTTTACTCTGAAGACCTACAAAAGATCAGCCTGGGGAAAGATGAAACATGCATTACAGATCTGTGCAATGAGGAAATGGTTTTCTTCTATAGTTTTTTCTGCCGGGAAATGAACCAGGATTACAACAACCTCTGCTGATATCGACAGAGCTCGGTGTGGTTTAACAATTATCCTTGATTACACTGAACCTATTTTTCTGTTGTACAGTAAACTTAAATGTCATAAGTAAAATTTATAACAGGAAACTCAGTGTGCGGGTACTGAGAATTTTTTTAGCTTTTTACAAATGTTGCTTTAAAAAGAGATTTACATACAACATTAAGGACACACAAGGTTACACGCTGAGTGTGTAAAGATTTTAGATTCAATTTTAATGAATTTGTTTCCGTATCAGAGTGTGACATGTTTACACAAAGGAATACCAAACTATTGCAACAAATTGATAGAGCAACTATTTGTTTTTAAAGGTGGGTACATATGAGAGCCTATGAACATTCTGCAGATAGGAGGCCTATCTTATAAGCTTGTTTATTTTAAAGTAGGCCTAATAATGCCCACGAAGAAAGGGATTCTCTTTCAAACCACGATTCTGGTCTTTTTTGATTTCTTCATTCATTCTTATCAACATGGAAATCCGCATCCAGAAGAGCCAAATGAAGATGAACAGGATGACCAAGGAGATGCAGAGGGCAGCTATATTAAAGCAGCGAGCCTTAGATCCGTGCTCCCGGGCGGCTTCCAGGTCGCCCAGCACCTTCCGGTCTCTGGCCTGAATGAGGAGAGAACAAAAAACACAAAATCAAAGGTAAACTGCAACCCAACAACCTAAGGAAAACTACTACCAGCAGGCCTAACCACAAGAGATGTTTTTTACTGAAGGAGTTGCAGGAATTTTCACTTCTTGATAAATGTCTTCACTGTGTTCAATTGTATATCTTTTCCTTTTCCTGACTGATTCCTTTCAACAATGAGATCCCTTTGATGCTTTGTAAGCTCTCTGCAAACCATGGCTTTTGCTGTAGGACGCAACTCAACGTAAAGTTACGCCTTTGTTTCAGGATATGGCTACATCATAAAGTTACATATAGGGCACTGCTGCAGTCTAGTTAAACAGGACACTTAATCAAAAAAGAAAATCAGAAAATCTCCAGCTACATACACGGTGATAATCTTAGTCACTGTGAATGAAATAGTCCGCGGTGGTGGTTCATAAAAAAGACAAAGACGTGATTAACCGTTATATGACGATTATCTTCCTATCATCAGGTCAGATTTGCTGCACTCACCTTGACCGAGTAGTAAAGGGCGATGAGTCCCAAGCAACATGGATTACAGTTGATGAAGTTGAACAAGGACCAAATAATGTGATCCCGCGGTGGGGGGGTAGATTCCATCTGCATCTCACGCTGATACACAGGTCTATATCCAGGTTCACACCACTTCTCGGACTTGCTGGTTTGCATCGGTAAAACCTCTGACTGGTACTGGGTGGTGTCCATAGTAAATGCCACTGTTAAGAGGTCTTTCTTGAGGTGTAAACAAACGCAGAAATGAAGCGTACTCTGAAATCCCGCAGTCTTGGTTATGAAGCAGGGAGGCGTTGCAGCCGACTCTGCAAGGCGGGACGATTTTCACTTCCTAGAAACTGAAACTAAAAAAGCACATTTTTTTTTTTTTTTTTACCAATTTTTACCAATTTGTTTTAAAAATCATTAATTTCTAACCCAAAGCTACAGCCAAATTTGTATAAACATGAGGGTTCTAACGGTACAGCCTAGTTTATGTCTGTACTGCATGGAATAAAGGAGAGAAAAACATAAAAACTGTTTTAAAACTGAAAGTTTTAAAACTGAAAGTGCTTATCTTCGATAATCTGCAGATGTTTTGCCTATACAATTTTAAATGAACAATGTATCTCATTTGTACCATGCCTGTACAGGAAATATACATTTTTTTAAGAAAACGTTTGAAATGCCAAAATCGTATCACTCTTAAAAAGCAACCACAGTAAGTGTAGAAATCAATACCACAACCCAGGAGAGCGCAGAATGTTTTTGATGCAGCAGACCCACATAAAGGGGGCAAGAAGCGTATTGTGGTGAGTGGTCAAATCATTTTAATAAAGATGGCAACTCTATTAAAATAAAATACTCTCTTTATTAAGACTCACTCTCAGTTTAACACTAGCAGATTCACGGACAGTTTACATGACATAGTTACACGCTAAGGAAACGCATGCTCTGCACTACAAACACAATATAACATAAACGTTTATCTAACTAGTGTACTGAGTTCCACCAGCCTCGGTTATGAAACATGGAGGTAGAGTGGCATCCGACTCTGCAAGTAGGGACAAGTTGTTTCCTTGATATCGAAACCAAAAAACAAGTATTTTTTCTTTTAGTAGTATGTACCGTTCCCTTTGTGTTTCTAAATGTTCTGGGTTCACTGGTAGCTTCAGGGCATAGGCTATGCCTACCTGTCAAGTTTTGGAATTTGAAAATAAGGGAAATTTTCCGGCACCCACCGCGAACCATCCCACCACCCCAATCAAGCTTCAGTATCCCTTACATTTTAAGACAGATGTACAAGAAATCTAGAAATCTAAAATAACTACTTGTCATTTACATTTTATTTTCATTACACATTTTCTTTTAATTTCTCATGTTCACTCATGTGGCTCTCTGGCATTCACTAATGACTTATTATACAGATTTGTTGCAGACTTTGTATCCTTGTTGAAATCGTCACAGAAGGTGAAAGTAGGGTTGTTTTTGGTACACAGCATTGCCATTTTATCCTCCGCATTTATGACCTGGTTAATGTTGTAAATGACCTGCAGACTACTGCAGGTGTCGGTTCTCGCTAGGCTACTGACAGTTCAGTTTGGAGAGGCAGAGGAATTTTTTTAAATGATATTATAATACGGGAGATTTAGGGGAAAATACTAACACGGGAGGACGGCGGGAAAGAGGGGTAAAATACGGTAGTTTCCCGGCCAAAACGGGAGACTTGTCACGCACGGACCAGGAAAGCAGAGGCGAGGAGACGTAAGATCAGGGAAAATGCGGGATTTAATGGGAGCGAACACGAAGGAACAGGCAACAAAGAAGATTGACAACGACCGGACTGGGGAAACAAACTGAAACGCGGACTAAATACACTGAACTAATGACAGTAATCGGAAACAGCTGACGAACACGGGGAATCCACATGGGGTTAATGAGGGGGCGTGGCACACGAGAGGAACGAACGATCGGGGCATGACAAGACTTGACAGCTATGCTTCAGAGTGCAAAATTAACTGATTCAAGGCAGGGAATCTCACTTGGAGATTTTTACTCTCAGTTGCTAAAAATAAAGAATAAAAAGATATGCTCCAAGTTAGGGCTGTGCAATATGGCATAAAATTCATATTGCGGTATAATTTGAACCATAGACGGTAGACGGTATATATTGCGGTATATGATTTGATCTGTAAATTTCAATATAACTGTTTTTGAAAGGGTAACATATGTCCATAGCAAAGGAAGTTGTATAATAAACTGTTAAAACATTTCAAAGTAGTCATGAACGTAGAATATTTATTGTGCAAATCTGCAATTATAGAAAAAGTATGAAAACATTTCAAGTAACTTCACTGGTTTTATCTTATATTAAAAATGCAGGTTGGTTTTGTAAACTGTATAGGTAAGCAGAAAACAAGACAGAACTAGACTAATGTCATAACTCCATCTATATTAGAATGACCATCTCTCCCATAAAGGTCCTGCCAGGCAGAGTCCTGCACGGGTTCGGGTACCCGACGGGTGACCTGCAAATTTTGTTGAAACGGGTGAAAAATATTCTAGTGTCGGATACGGGTTCAGGTCGGGTCGGACACAGGAGAGCTAAATTGCAGTTTTCAAAACATCATGTGCCAACACAAAATACCCTAGGGCTATATTTTAGTGACAAAATCCCTGCATTCAAGATGATAAAACGTAAAATCCGTATCAGTTTATGCCTGCACGCGCATTCCCGGAAATCTCTCCCACTTTCATTTTAAAAAAACGCATGCGATCTCCTCCAGTTGTTCGAAATGGATGCTGAAGTAGTCAGCTGAGGCCATCAACTGTGGACGATATCCTTTTTTTACACTAATATAAAGCACCGCACCAAACGCTAGTCTTCGCATTCGCGTAGGAATTCCAATCGGGTAATCAAAGGAAAATGGACAGTGCCTATAAAACCCAATACTGTGCAGGGTAGCCTAATGTACATTTTATATAATATTAGTTTTATTAACACATTTAATTGTAAGCTGGTAAGGCTATGTGTGGGCATGGCAATATCAAACATTATTTGAGTTTAGAGGTAGGCTACTACCATTTGTTTTGCTTATTATTAAGCTGTTATTAAGCAACATATACATTTGGCTATGCCTTTTCAACTGATGTTGCACATGTCACTGGTCGTTTGTTGTGCCAATAAACTTGTGTCTTTAATTTTTAATCTGACTGATTTTCATGCGGGTGCGGGTCGGGTGTCGGTATTTATTTATAGCGGATCGGGTGCGGAATTTTATTTTATTTCTGTCGGATAACGGTTCGGATACGGGTTTAAGTATGACGGGTATGGGTGGGTGCGATTTGTCATAATCAGACCCGTGCAGGACTCTGCTGGGTGCAGCAATAATCATATAAACAATTTTCATATAAATAAATTATTTATTATTTGACGCGATTTCATTACGTCATTTTCGCGGGCGAGGAGCGGAAATTTCTGCGGTAGGGCGGTATAATCAAAATCTCTCCCGTTGGCCCAATTTATATTGTATACCTTTTATACCGTTTATACCGCCCACTACTTCTCGAAGTCTACAGTTCCACTCAGAATGATTCAACCGCCATTGCAAAATAAGTTTATTGGCCAAATGTACAAGTTTTCAGCTGTTTGCAATAAAGAAATTAAACAAGAACAATTTAAATAGTTGAACACAACTAATATTAACATTCAATGGAAAAGTGGCACTTCTAATGACTATTTTGACACATTTTTCAACAACTCCGTAGCCTCAAAATTATTCAACTCATTCATGACCAGCATCTTTAGTATGCAATAGAGCACCAGTTTGCTGTTATGAGCTGCTGCAGATGTGACACATAGCCAGACACCAGCTTCTGGCACCGTTCCCAGGGAATCTTAGCCCATTCCTCATGGACAATGGCCTCCAGCTCACTAATATTCCTGGGTTTGTGCGCTGGAACCCCCTTCTTCAAATCCCACCAGAGATTTTCCATGGGGTTTCGATCAGGTGACTGTGACTGCCACTAGAATCTTCCAGGACCTTTTGTGAAACCAAGCCTTGGTGGACTGGAAGGTCCAGTGACGCCCAAACTCCTGCTTCCTCCCACATGGCATGATGGTTTCTCCAAGGATTTTCTGATACTTGATTAAATCCATCTTGCCCTCCAAACGCAGTAGGTTGCGGTGCCAGAAGAAGCAGAGCAGCCCCAGAGCATCACCGAGCCATGCTTCTCTGTAGGCAGGGTTTTCTTTTCATCTTTCCTCCTCCAGACATACCGCTGATCCATAAGCCCGAAAAGTTCCAGCTGTGATTCATCGCTCCACAGAACAGAATCCCCAAACTTTTTCATATGGTCTTGAGCATACTGGAGCCAACTTTTCTTTTGCATTTGGTTCAGTAGTGGTGTACGTCTTGGAGTTCAGGCATGGAGACCTTTAGCGTTTAGTATGCGCCTGCTGCCACCAAGTCTTGCTGCAGGTGTTTTGCAGTCACTCAAGGGTTTTTGGCCACCTGCTTCCTCAGAAATCGGTGGCAGGGCTGGGCGATATCTTATCGATATTATATCACACGTGCAATAATCACCAGGGCTTCAGATGATGGGTGTACTTCAGTGCGATATGCACTGTAGCAGAGCACACCACATAATACTGCTATGGTATACTATGGTTTGGTATAAGCTTAGTCCATCAAAACAGCCATTCAGCTTATTAAGAGATGGTGTCATTTTCAGGGCAGGTTCTGGAATGTGTCCATTTGGCCAGGGGCCACCTGCTGGATCTCAGTACACGTTTGCCTGTGTGGGGAAGATGAGGGTCTCAGCAGAGTGACGGCTTCAGGAGATGGGGGTGACCATGTCAGGCTGGGCGAACTCCATGTATCTCCTGGATGGGTGAGGGCTTGCTAAGAGGTGAGGTACCGCTATTTGACTGCTGATTCACAGAACGGTGGGTTTTAACACAATTCTAACGTGGTGACACACACACTCTTGTTTCATTGGCTGTTACCATCAGAGGTGGATTGCCCTGATGACTTCTCACTGTCAGAAGTCAGCACTTTATTTAAATGTATTCTCCAATTTCATCCTGATAGATTTGAAATGCAGAAATCTGTCACCCAGAGCGAGCTGCTTGTATGGTCTGGTTACTCTGTGTGGGGCCTGTGTGGGGTTCAGCGTCTGAAGGTGTCACTTCTGGCTGAGTGAGGGTTACCTGGCAGCCATGATAGTAGCACAGAGCTACTTCACAGCTGTAAAGCTAACAGCCTCTAAAGCCACACCCCCCCCCACCCAGTGTGCGT